CTTCCTTCCTTCCTTCCTTCCTTCCTTCCTTCCTTCCTTCCTTCCTTTCTTTCTTTCTTTCCAAACAGTATAATATATACTGTACATACCCAATACAGCCAACATAGCTGAAGCCAATAGTGTCTGACAGATTGGCCATCACGTATTGGTCTAGTACTGCTGACCATAAAGCCATGGTTTAGAGAGCCCTGCATTATGTTCTTCATGACTGCATTCACTTTTGAGCTACACCCAGCAGCTCACCATAAAACAGTCCCAAAATACATTTGTGTCTGGATAAGGATATCTGTTGAAGTTTAGATTGGCAAATGATGTCTCAATCTTATTCCTCTATTCTGTAGGAATCATAACACACATATATTCCGCATGATTCCCTCATTGCTGCACCTGCTCACTGAAGTAGTGAATGAAATATGGACAGGTGATGCAATAATGAGTGTAAATAGGCTTTGGTGTATGATCTATATCAGGGCTGCCAGACTCCCGGCCTGCAAGCTGGATGTGTCATGCTCTGGCCACTCCCAAACCCGGTTTAGTGAAGGGGAAAAAGTCTTGATATGTCACATGACACCACCATGACGATGTGATTTTGACACCCCTGATCTATATGATAGCACATGCAGATCTGATGTCTCTGGACCATCCTTTTGCATGCACCTAATGTCTACCTCAGTCATTATAAAATTTTCAGTTCAGGGAAGGAAAATTATTTAGCATTGGGGTTCAAACCTCATAGACCACAGAGAAAAAAGGAAAGGACCTTTGAGATTTAAGACAATGTAGAGAAAAGGGAAGTATTCAAGAATTGAGGTCTGAGAAATGAAGAAATGTAGGTCTGAGGAGACTGAAAGCAGGGTTGTAAATTATTGATGGGAGACAAAATGGCAAGAGGTTTGCTTTTGCCAATGTATCCTAACTCTAGCATTCACCATCTTTAGTCAGCTTTTCTACTGGTCAGGGATGATAAATATAGTATTGTAGTTTTAAACATCTGGAGATCCAAAGTTATAAAAGGCTTATCTACACCTTGCAAAGAGATCTTGTTATTTATACCCACATTGTAGAATGGAGGAAGACTAAAATCTGCAGGGATATGCAAGTTGTTGAGCTTTATATACACATTTGAATTAAACAGAGAGTTATTTCATTGCAGGCTTTTAGTCTGAGTTATTTTACTGTCAAGCTCTCTGGCAGTTGCCTGAAACCCAAGTAAATCTTTCCAAGCAAGCTTCCCACGAAGTCTTCTTCAGTGTGATTTATTGAGATGAAAGGGATAGGGTTACAAGATTTCAGCAACAGAACTATTTCCCATTTAGAAAACAGTTTATCAAATAATACATTAAGGTAAATGCTTTTTTTAGTTTCCTTTTAGCAGCCTTCCTCTTATTCTGTGGGAGTTGGGTTTGTTCATTCATCATAGGAAAACTTGCAGCTGGCCATTTACATAATTATCTACTAAATCTTTATCAATGTGGGGATTAACCATAACATTTACTTAAATTCATTTTGCTTCTTTCACCTCTGAAGAAGAGCTGAAAGTGTGCATGGAGAAGAAATCCATTTTGTTCCTCTAAAACAATTACTATTGTTGTTATCCATTCATTTTTAAACGTGTACTTGCAGCCTGAAGGATATAAGCTTACAGAATTAAAATGAAAGACGACATAAAATTGCAGGAATAATTATTTTGTGTTTAGCTATTCCCTTATAGCCTTTCTTTGTGTTGTGTAGCACACTTGCACAATATTTAGATTTGTACATATCAGAAAGTGCATCTTATTTTCTCCCAAGAAGACTTGCATTTCCCTATCTTCCTCTACTCACAGAGAACTTTCTAGGTGCTGGGATTCCAGTCTTTCTTTTCATCCTTCCTTATGTTCTGTCCTTTTTTGCCCTCCAACCAGCTCTGGTGAATTGCTAAGGCCCAGAGACCCTCCATGGATTGCACTGGTTCAGACAGAACCCAGGAAGAAGCCGGCTCCTCTGCCACCAGGCAATAGCAAGGAAAGCTCACCAGTGGCTTTCGAAGAGAATGAAGGTAGAGTAGAAGGAGGAAAGGCACAAATCAGGGAAGACAGACCTGTCCTGGAAGAGCCAAAGCCTTATAACCCCTTTGAAGATGAAGAAGAGGAAGAGGATGAGAAGGAAGTTGTCATATCACAGAGCAAACAAAAGCAAGAACAAAGGGAGGGGGAGAGTGGTCTCAAGCCTGCTCATCCCTGGTACGGCATTACTCCCACAAGCAGCCCCAAGACAAAGAAACGACCAGCTCCAAGAGCACCCAGTGCCTCCCCACTTGGTGAGTTTCTTCAGCATGTTTTAAAATGTGTTGGGGGGGGATGCCTTCTAGATGCGTAACCTGACTTATCCAGCATGTGAATGGCTTCTCCTTTTTACAATATGGATCGCTGTTGATTTGATCTTTCAGTTGCTTCCAAAACAAGTGCAATTACCTAGTCCTTTCTGGTTATTCTTGAACGACTAAGGAAATGGCAGAGAGCTATTGTTAAATATTTTCTCCTTTCGCCTCCATTTTTCTTATGTTCCTTAGTGAAGGACCTTTAAGATGAAAACTTCCCTTCCAGCATTCAGTCTTGAAAATAAGTTTTCATTCTTCACCTAAAGACAAGGTGTTGTGTGTTATATTGTCTCTTCTTTCCTCCTATTTTTTAGAAGGTGTGTTAATTATGAAACTTAATTGATCTGCAGCTTAAAGACTGGGAAGGACTTGCCTAATTTTTTTTCTCTAGGCATTTTTCCTTTTTTCCCCTTTTCCTCTGTTTTTACCCACTATAGTTTGGAGGGCACAGAGCAGTGGTGCATGACCTGAATTTCATGGTCATATGCAGTCTTCAAAAACCTGAGGGGAGCCCTCAAAACACTGCTGCTGAAATGTAAGGTTATGTAATAGAAGAGAGAAATTATCATTATCTTAATAATAAAATCAATATAATTTAACCTAAATTAGAAATTGTTTTTTTTTTTTTAATAAAAATGTTATTTGGGTTTTCACAAAACATAATGCAAGTAAAATTTCTTTTTTTGAGAATAGCATGGCCCCGAGTTGTCACTTCTCCATACAGACACAAATTCAATTTCATATTTTCTTTTCTCGTTAAACAAAATTTTCCCCTGTAGTTACTAATTGGAATACTAAATAACACCTTTACATCTTTTAATTTTTCCCTTCAACTTATTTAAACTTCAATTTATGCCTTTACAATTATAACATTCAATATAACACATAAGTTCCAGTCGAATTCTGCTTGGTACATTCTTAAAATACGTACTAAGTTCTTAAAGAAAAAGTATTTATATAACAATAACAAATAAAACACTTATTCTATTCCAATTCAGCTCTATCATTAATGTTAGTTATAATCTTTAACATCTTTAACATTTCTTTTCAATAGGATATCATACTTCTAGGAATACTTATAATATTTCCATAATTTTTTCATATTCCTCTTCACTTAAATTTTTATAACACATTAATGATAATTAAAATGTTTCCCTCATTTCCTCATTACATTCTCTCATTCTCTTTATTTCATTTATTTATTAAACATTCCATTACATTACAATGAGTATTTTATCTATCATTTTAATCACACTTGTTTCATATTTTCAAAGTTCATTTCTATTTTTAATATAACAATACTATCTTATGTACCCTTGCAGAATCCCCCTTTCAATTAAATTTTCACCCATTATCGCTGTGTCTTCTAAGTAGACTTATACCCTTAATCTTTGTACGTTTTCCCTGTTTCTCTATGTCCTGTTTCTATAATTTCTTTTCCTTTCCCTCTTCCCCCTCTTCTTCTCCCTTCCCTTTTTGACCTCTTCTCTCTCTAATTCTGATTCTCTCTTCTGTAATCCTCTCTTCTGTTTCTTCCTAATATTGTAATTACTTTTCAAACTATTCTTTTTGGGGGTTGTTTTTTCAAATCTTAAATTTTTCACTCTCTTTCCCCCCTTTCCTTTCTTTTCCCCACATAGAAATACTTGGTCATTGAAGATGGCGTCTTCTTTGTCCCGCCCTTCTTGTTGTTTCGCATAGTTCAGGATCTCCATTTCTAAAAATTGAAATACAAAGCCAAAAGAACCTCTTCCTTCTTGTGCATCTTCTTTCTGTTTTTTTAAGTTCCATTCTCAATTCTTCCAAGAGTGATACCATTTTAAAAACTTGGAAACAACCACCGATTAATTTTAGTCCTTTAGATCCAATAGCCAAAAATCACCAAGTAATCCAAATAATCCAAAGCTGTTTCTTCTTGCTTCTTTTTTCCACTTTCTGTTCCTGGGATTCTATTATCTTGTTACAAAGTTTCAATTAAAATATATCTTTTAGGAATCTTGTTAAAGTTTCACTGTTAATTCATTTCACTTCCAGGTGGTCTCCTCCATTTTTCCAGATCCCACCCTTTTGTTTTTTTCCTTCTTTTAAAAGTTTTTGTGAATCCAGAAATCTTTATTATGCCTTTGACATTTTATTTTCAGCTTAAATATCTGCTAATGTCAAAGTGGATTTTTGCCGATTTCTTGCTTAAATCCCTTAGTTGTCAATATAGGGAAGAAAAGAAAAAAAACCAAATCCTTTCCCTTCCCTCTCTCATTCGCCACTTGAAAGTCTTCTTTGGGAGCAATGTTATTCTTTATAATTCAAATTCCAGGGTACCTTATATTGTTGCTTTTTCAGTTTGACCCAGTCAGCCAAAACTTTCTCTTCTTATCTTCCTCCTGCACATTCCTTTCTGGTCGAATTCTTCTTTAAGGTGACCATTTCTGACCACTGCTGCAACCGCCTTCAGGAAAGGGAGTAACGGCCAGCTGGGGAGGGGAGATGCGACTCTCCTCGATCCTGCTGGCAGTCTCCCCCCTCTTCACCACCTCTACGGGGTGGCTTAGCCTTGAAACCAGCCGGCTCGGGGCGCTCCAGCGGCAAGCACAGATCAAAACCACGCACGATCACGGATTCCGGTCTGTCGCTGAAGAAGCTCAAACCAGAAGACCCTAAATTAGAAATTGTTGTCTTTCCAAATACTGTTTTGTTCAGGCCTCGTTTTCTTTTGGAATGGGTTTTCTGGAACATAGCCTTTGTTTTGGAAAAGGCTGTACATCCTTAAGATCAAAGGGACAAAAGGGTGGGTGCTTGAAATATGGTGCTTTTCTGTCACTAGCTGCAGGACTTCCATCAATGGACCTGACTAGCCAAAAGATTCTTTATGCTACCTCCAAACTCTGTCTTTCCTATTGCAGTTCACCATCCCATCTCCAGGCTTTCCCACTCAGAACCATCTTCTTCCACGCCGTCCCCAGCCCTCAGCTTGGAGAGTATCACATCTGAGTGTTTGGCCAAGGCTGCTGACAACCTGAACGATGCCTCTGTGCCGAAGAGCTCCTCTGAGCCTACAGTCCATGCTCCTGCTGCTTCCATCCTTTCCCACTCGGACACCCCACTGATCAGTGTCCCTTCTGGTGAGGGACCTACAGTTCTGCCCGCCTGTTCTACTGATTCCTCCTTATCGTCATCCAGTGATTTGACGGGCTATGGTGATGAGGCACAAGGTGGACATTTACAGACTGCCAGAATTTGTCCGTCTGGGAACTTGAAAACCAGCCCTGGGAATATCTTTCCTAAGCCTCCTGCTGGAGCATCTCCCACACCCATTCTCTTGGCATCAGAGTTGAACAGTGGATCTGCAAGTAACTCTCCTTCACCCAAAGCGCAGCCAAAGGTAGGTAGCAGGCATAGCTGGAAGCTCTCTTGTCTTTTTCTTTCCTTCCCTTATTCTCCCGGGTCTCCCCCTACCAAGGCTATTCACTGGTATACATATCCTTCTAGGAAATATATAGGATTTGTTCACTATAAAGCATTCAGACAATTCCATTTTTGTCCATGAAATGCTTCTTTGGTCTCTTGGTCTCTTAGATTTAGGGCCAATCGTATTTGGTTCAGAAGTTTTGTTAATACATTTTAAAATATATTATTTTGTTTGCTTTTGACCACAACTTGGTTTTCCTCAGAGGGTTAAAGAACTAGGCTCATTTGGAGAGCAAAATTCTGTCTCGCTTTGATTAGTGAGAATACTTTTGACGCTGCTTTCACCAAGAAGTTCATTTTATTTGCTTCTGAATTACTTCCCCAGAAATGATTATGGGACAAATTATGTAAACTAGAAAAGACAAGAACTGCCCTATAGGGAAGGACCATAGGTCAATAGTGGAGCACATACTTTGCATAGTAAGGATTGTATTTTCAGGTAGGGCTGGGAGGACTCCATCATGAAATCTGGGAAATCTAGTCAGTAATAATAAAACTGAATTAGATATACCTGTGTTCTTATAAGATAGTTACCTAATGGTACTTTTATGTTTTTATGCAGTGATTCCATACCACCTAAAGCGTCTGTATCGCTTACATAAGGCAAACAAACAAAATACATTGCTCAGCACTCAGTTCCTGAACTAAATTATGCTCTCCATAATTCATGCTGCCATTCAATTAAACAGTAGGGCTGGAAAACTTTTGTCTTAAATTGTGATGAGATGTTGCCAGTTAGATTCTAAAAGACGGATTGACAATTTAAATGCAACTTCCTACAGTCCTAGAGTCTTGGTTTCAAGGTTGACAGAAAATACTGTCTAATCCTTCAGTGTTTCCATAATACTTGTGACTTCTTATAGCACCTAATTTTCCTTTCTCAGAAGTCTCATACTGATCTAGATGTAAAATGACCTGGACAATATACCCATTTGTTCCTACTTATTTGACCTGGAGGAGAAAATTCCGCATTTTTTGAAGGGGATACACTCTTTAGCAATGCACTTGGAATTTTCCCATTAAAGAAAGAGGGTGCAGTGCAGAATCACAAGATGTGATTCAAGATGTGATTATTTGATTTATGTGTTTGTATCTAGTCATCCTGTAAGGAGAATCCCTTCAACCGGAAGCCATCACCTGCTGCCTCCCCCTCTGTTAAGAAAGCTTCAAAGGGACCCAAACCAGCAAGGCCTCCTGCTCCTGGACATGGTTTCCCACTAATAAAACGGAAGGTAATTGGGATTGGGGAAAAATGGGGAAGTACTTTTGCATGGGGTTTCCTGAATTTCCAATTTTTTTATAGACGTCGGAAGAGGGTTACTAACCTCCAAGAGAGGAGTTGAATACTAAGATAGCTTAGATAATCTTCATTTTCCAGAATTTTCATCAATGCCAATTATGAGTGGCAAATTTTGGGAGTTGAACTTCACATATCTGAAAGGGACACAGCATAAGAAGGTTGCCAAGAGATGCTATAAGGAAGTGTATTACTATGTAATGTATAGTGGCTTTTTCTGTAGACTGCACTACAGTAAAAATCACCATCTCAGGTTCTAAAATTGTGGTCTTAGAACGTGGCTTGGAACATTCCAACCTTCAATTCTCTTTTTTTAATGATTTCCATACATTCTTTTACCATAGTCAAAATTATAGCTGCATGCATAAATTTAGGCACCCTTGGTCAAATGGTATATTTCAGTGCCGTCATAGTCCCAGACTTGAATGTTGTTAAGATTCTGTGTGGAGATCTCAAACTTCCTAAAGGAATTTTAAGCTGGAAGAGTTCCACCAGGAAGATGGGAAAAAATTCCAAAAATGAAAATAGAAAGGTACAGGAAATACTTGGAAGTTTTCAATTCTTCTAAGGCTGTGTTACAAAGTGGTGACTAAAAGGGTGCTCCCAAACTTTGTGCATGCAAGATTCATTCTTTATGTATTTTAAACTTGTAAATAGCTATACATAAATAATAAAAGCATGTATTCAGATTTGCAGAAAGATGTATTTTAGCTTTGTATCGTGTACGGACTATGTTAACTTCTACTCACGGAAATGTACAATTTGACTAGAGATGCCTAAACTTTTATATAAAACCGAGGAACGACATAAATTGAGAGTAAATTTGGTGTAGTGATTAAGGCATCAGTCTAGAAATGGGAAACTGAATTCTAGTTCTGCTTTAGGCACAAAGGCAGCTAAGGTGACCTTGGGCCAGTCACTTTGTATAAGCCCTAGGAAGGAGGTAATGGCAAACCACTTCTGAACAATTTTGTCAAGAAAACTTCAGGGACTTGTCCAGGCAATCTTTGAGAATTGGACACAATTGAAGGGTGGTGGTGGAGTTTGATTCCTGATTGTTAATCATGAATTTGCTTCCTTATGCTTGAATGTTCCATTAAATAAAAGACAATAAACCGCTCCCTGCCTGCCTTTCATGGTTGTGAAGGAGCTAGACAGTCAATGGCTGCTTCAGGCAAGAAGTCAGAAGGAATTTGGCATATTGTATCTTCTCCCAAATTCTGTCCTGCTTCTGTCTCATAATCAGTAACTGTATTTCTCTTTGTCTACTCTGGAAATAGCTGATACTTTATACAAATCTTGTTTGGAATAAAACATAAGATTCCTTTTTCCCCCTTTTTTGATAGGTTCAGTCAGATCAGTATGTCCCAGTGGAGAATATATATGGTGAGATGGACAGCATTGAGCAGCAGCTGGATGAGTTAGAACACCGAGGAGTTGAACTGGAAAGGAAACTCCGGACAATAGAGAATGGTAGGATAGCTGATGCTACTCCTAAGGCTGGACAAGGATAGGAAATGTGTTTTTCTGACCTCACCCTGTCCTGTCTCCAATTGGCAGATGTCCCTGAAGATGGTTTGCTGGTGGATTGGTTTAAGCTGATTCATGAGAAACATATGCTAGTGCGTCGAGAGTCTGAACTTATCTATATGTAAGTACAATATAAGCTACAATCCCAAACATGTTTACTAATGTATTGAGTTCAGTAAGACTTACTTTTGAATAAATATGCTATGAATTATATTTGTTAGGTGGCAATTCAAAGTCATTAGGTTTCCATAAGCTGTAGCTCACTTTATTTATGCATCTCCTTATGTGAGCTTCATTCATGAAAATTTATGAATTAATAAAATTTATTTGTCAGAAAAAGTGCCATTAGACTCCTTCAGATTTTTCACCACTATAAATTAATGTGGTTGGCTTCCTAAAATGCCTACAGTAAGAAGCAGTTCATTAGTTGGGTAGTTTCCTGCACATGGGGCACAGAATGAAAGCAAAATGGCTAGCATTTTTTCATTCACTTATATTCCACTGACAGCCCTGGAAAATTATGGAAGAATCTTGGAGCAATATCATCAGAAATAAAGTCACCTTCAAATATACTACAGAAATAGAAGTAACATAGCAGAATCTAGATGATTCAGGAACCATTTCTTGTCAATATCTTCCAAGCTGAAAAGATAGAAGTAAAAAATGTGATGCTATTTAGCCCGTCACACTTGGCAGCTACCAATGTCTGATACTTTCAAGTCCATGACGGAAGCACTCTTTTATTCTTAAGCAACCTTCCTGCCAAACTCTTGTGGCATTGGACATTGAGCTGGCTTTCCCTCCTGTGGACAGTCCTGAAGGATATTCCATACAAGTGAATGCTTACCTATTTAATTCAATATTGTTTCAAAATGGCCAGTTGATTATTTGTAGGAAACCCAGAGATATGAGTATAAAACATTCAAAGTAGTTCTTTTGACCTTTGGAAAAGTGATCTACCTGGATTTTATTCAGTATTTCAATAGCAACTAATTCAGTAATGACAACAGAAATGCAAATATGGGGGCAGTCATAAGCAGTGTCTCTTTTGCATAGCAGAAATTGTGCAAAAATGCTGGAAAATAAAGCATTTTTTTTAAACTGAAGATTTGAGAGAACTGTGTTGGTCCTTAAAAATGGCATAGCACTTTTTACAATAATTAAAGCAATAATACATGCTCTGTTTCTTCTTTCGAGTTTTAAGCAGCAGAACTTGGAGCAACGTCAAGCTGATGTGGAGTATGAACTGCGATGTCTTCTTAATAAACCTGGCAAGTTTTAAAGGGTGTTAGCCTGCTGTTTGCTTTTTTAAAAAAATGATCTTAAGTGAAATATGTTGTAGCATTAGGAAATTATTTAAATTGTAAGCATCTGTTCTCTCACTGGATTTGATTTTTCCTTAACCCAGTATTGTTCATGCATGGGCTGTGCTGGAGGGAAATGATGAGAATTACAGTTTGACACATCTGGGAGAAATTACATGGGGAAGACTGAGCTGTGCTTATTGCTTTTTTATGTTTTTTATTTAATTCACCATATCTTGCCTGCTAGCAGGGAGTATTGTTCTATAAAAGGAGAGTCTCTGTTTCTAACCAAGAGCTTTTCTGCATGCAACTCTATTTCTGTCCTAATAGCAAGAAATCCAACAAAAAAGAAACTCCAAAAATAGGCTGAAAGCGTAATGACCTGTTGAAAGATATCAGAACTTACTGATTCATGACTGGATTCAAATGTGTATTGAACTCACAGTTGATCTAATATAAATGAGACTAATAATTATAGTTACATAGTCAGACAGATGTGTATAGATTGGATTTGGCATTTTTATACACCTATCAGATCTTTCTCAAGGGCCTGGGATAGACAGATGTTGTTTGATGGTGTTAAAGGTATTGTCACAGGATGCAAACTGTTCCAAGTAAAGGTGCCATTTCCAATTGACTGGTGGTGATTTTGTCGATACCAAATAGTGGTCAAGTGGTGGTCCAGATGATTCGGGATTATTATTCAATTCCACCATATTTTGGTGAGTTCTTATTGTTCATTTTCAGGCAAGAAACTCAATGGCACATAAAATATAGGAACCTGCCTGGTTTTAATCTACTGTAGTTTGTTCTGATGGCAGTAGATTTCCACAGAATCTTGTTGCTGTGTTACTGAAGATGCCACTATTCAAGCAAGATAGAAAAGCAAACTTTGCCCAATCTTTTATATATTCTCAGCGCTTTATAATATGTAGTGAAGAAGATGCATAATGGGGGTCAAAAGCACTTCTCTCATGTAACGTTTCATAGGGCGTAAGTTGTCTTTATTATATAATTTGTTTCCTCTCTTTCTTTTTTGGGGGGTGTTAGATAAAGACTGGACAGATGATGACAGGATCAGAGACAAGGTATTGATGGAAGAGCTTGTGACCATTATTGAACAACGGAATGCCATTGTCAACAGTCTGGATGAGGATCGGCAAAGGTAGTGAACGGAAAAGCAAAAGGCTGTATTTTTGGTTAATTGAAAACAATTGGCCTGGGAAATGTTGATTGTAGCACTGCAAAGCATAATTGCCTGTGTGATTCTTACCATTAATCATTTGATAAGCTAAGCCAAGTAGTACTAGAAACTTGGGCAAAAGGGTAGTATGTTATTATATAGAAGGGCGGGCAATATGCAGCTTCAGGAATCCCCTGCCCCTGTTAGCTATCTTTTCAGGAAAGGGTACATTCACAAAATGTAATGAATGCCCCCCCCCCCCCCAAATATTTAATAGAATTAAAAACTATTTTTTGAAAAAATGAAAATCCAGGCAACAGTATATGTGTGATGCATTTTCCCTATTTGGACCTTCACCCATTTGAAAAATATTAAACACAGATTTTGGTCACCAAATAGCAGCTCCTCTCTGCTTCAGGAGAGTGATTTTTGTTCTAATCAGTCCCACTTTGGCTATATTGACTAAAACAGGATCTGCTTATTTTATCAGGGAGGAAGAGGAGGATAAAATGTTGGAAGCCATGATTAAAACAAAAGGTAAGAAGAATAAGGTCCAATCATTCAGACTTCCCAGTCTCAGATGCAGTCGCTGTTTGCAGAATTATGCACTGGTATTGTTTTAACTATTTTGTCTTCTGTACAAAATAACTAAATGTTAGGTGTCTATACCCATACCAACTTCAGTTCTGTCCTGACAAAAGCTAATTGTATGATTAGTATAAAATATAAACCAAGTCCATCTGGGTAACCTATCCTGTTTTCCACAATACATTGTAGCAGTAAAGTATACTTTTTGTTCCGTGCAGATGGGAGGAATTAGAAATGGGAAATAAAAAGTAATGTTTCTCCATCCTAAATTGGCTTTGGCAATATATTATGTTGGCACACTTCTCTGTTGTTAGGGAACATCTTTGCCAAAAGAGGCAGCCCATTTGCTACCATGAACCAAGGGAGAGGGAAGTTGTGTTGGTTTAGCTTCTTTCCCTGTGCCAACACAGAAGATGAGCAATTCACTTTTATCGTAGAGATCAAAGAAAGTTATGTGAAAAGAGGAGGTAAACTGAGGCGTTGTACCAGTGGATCTAGTTTCTGAAACCAAGAGCTTTTGTTCAGTTTAAGCAAAGACAGTAGTTGAGTAGTCTGGCTGATTCTTAAGGGAGCCTTCTATGCTCCTAATCCCCTCTACATTGCATCCACTAACCCCAACTCTTTCTCTTTCCAGAATTTCGCAAGGACTCTGAGGCTGAAATCAAGAAGAAAGGAAAATTCAAACCAATGAAAGTGCTGAAGTTACTTGGAAATAAACCTGACTCAAAAAACAGATCCCCCAAGGAAAAAAGCTAAAGCAGCTGGCAACTAGAAGAGTAAGGAGGGCTGTTAGTCTCTTTGACTGCTCAGCCCCATTTAGCTGGGCGTGCCTGGCAAGTAGGATGGCTTCCTGCTTTTGCCCATTTTTTTAAAAAAGGGGGTTGTGCCTTGCCATACACCAAAGGTGGCTTTATCTCAGAAAAATCCAACCACCTTCCACAGCAGCAGGTGTTAGAAAGGGGGGAAATATGGCAAGTCTTATGAGCACATTACAGAGAGGGACAGACATGGAGGAAGAAGCTGTTTGCCATTTTCTCTTTCAAGGTGTGAGGGATGGGAATGGACAAATAAAATAGCTTTAGACTTCCTCAGTTGTGTACCTATTATATCCTTGACTGTTCAGAACTTTTAATCATACGTGTTTTGGGGAAAGTTGCACTAATTGTCCTCCTCCTTTAACTGTGATAGTCACATGTGCCTAATAATCTCTTCGGGGGAGGGAGGAGGAAGGAAATCCCCATTGCAGTTTGGGAGCCTCTGGTTATCTCTTTTGAATTCCTTTTCTTATTCTTTTTCTCCTCTGATCATTCCAAAAAAAAAAAAAATCGGGCTTTCAGGGCAGATATTTGTTGTGGGCTTAAATTTTTAAAAGATTTTGACCATAGGAAAGTCTATTATAAAGTCTGTAAAAACAGCCAAAAACCTAACCAATGCTCTATTTCTGAAAGATTTCTCTGTCACCAAAGAAGACATTATGCTGTGAATGCCGATTCTGTTGGCAACCAGTTAGCAAACCACAGAGGAAAGGCTAAGGCAGTTTTGACCTCTGTTGTAAAGCAAATTGCAGTTGCTGTCAAGAGGGTAGATTTGTGTAGGTGTGAATGGGAAACAACTGGATCTTTTTAACCCTCTTATTTGCTTCTGCTGCTGCTGCTATGTATATCGGGACACAGCAGGCTGGGACAACTCATTGCCTGCCAAACACTAGAGCCAGAAGAGGATGTCAACAAGGTACCACTGTAATTCTTAGCTCCCTCCCCTCAGGGTTTATGTGCATGTTTTTTTTTCTAAGAGTGCAAAAGATCTTTATAAGTTTTGTAGCCAAACACCCACCCTCTATCTGACTTTCTGCTTTTTTTTTAGTTTTGTGTGTATGTATGAATTCAGAAGGGAGAATGTCTTTTTTTCTCTTCTGGCTTCTCTAAATTGAGGGACTATTTATTGAGATGTTTGTTTGGTCTGAGTTAAATGTTGATAATATTGTAGGTGTTGGTTTGAGTTATTAGCAAATTGCTGTGCTGCTTTATTCAAATGTAATGAATTGGAAAACAGTCCTCGACTGTGATATTCAACCTGGAGTGCCCTCCCTAACTTGAAGCTCTCCAGATGTGTTATGTTACCATTTCTATCTGGTCAGCCAATATATCATGTTAATAGTAGTTTGGGAATGATGGATAATTCAACATATCTGGAAAGCAGCAGTTAGGGTTTAGACCTTTTCAAAGCAGAACTGAATTCATTGGTGGTGTCAGCTCTTAGCCTCTACAACAGGGATGTCAAACTTGCAGCCCGCGGGCTGGAGGCATCACACTGGCCACCTCCACCCCCATTTTAGCGGAGGGGGAAAAAGTCACAATACACCACATGACAACAGTGTGACAACAGGTTTGATATCCCTGCTCTACAATAGACAGTAGCCACCATCTGTTTCTTGCTCTCAGTTACAAGATTGTCCAATGCACAGCTCTCTCTTTTATAAAGCAAAACAAGTCAATCTTTTAAAATGACCTCAGATACAGTCCCATCAGAAATTATCAGATTCTGGTGAACATAATTACCCTGTGGTAACTGCAATCTCCACTGATGGGCACAGATGAAATCAATAATAAAACTGATAAAACCACTATATTTTGTTTCTGTTGTGTTTGTTTCTAGAGATGTCTTGGCAGGAAGTGGACACAAAGCATTATGTTATAGGGAATGGAAAGTAGAAAATCACAAAATTCTCAGGACTTCTATTTATTTTTTACAAGTAGAATATTATACAGCTATCAAAAGTGACCTGGACCAAAGCAAAAAGTCCACCAATGAGAAAAAAAAACATCCCATACTCCATTTATTGTTGTGGTATTAAGTCTTTCTTTTAACAAGTGACAGACATCTGAATAGTCACTTAGTCATAATGAAGATGGTCCTAGGTCTGTAATTTTACTGAAGAAGCATTCGTCAAAAATAACTGCCATCTATAATCTTCCAATTCTCTCTTTTATAGTCCGATACAATAGTCACCACTGTTTGCTTAAAATTTATATGGTAAGTGAAAAACAGCAGTTTTGACTGGAAGCAGTCTCCTCCTGGATGGCAGAATAATATATGAAATATTTTTGATCTATTCTAAGAGTTGTACTGTTCTAATTCTAATAAATGAAAATTGAAATCCTTTCCTCTTTTTTGTCAAGGCAAGCAAGCTAATATTCATTGTAAGGCCAGTGATTCATTTGAACTCTTTTGTTTCTGGATCACATTTTTGGAAAGGCTTCCTGCCATTCCATATTGAAACAGATTGTTCCTATTTTTCAGGATTCATACAGAATTCCTGGGAGATTAAATATATTCTAACAGATACCTGCCACAAGAGGGTCAAAACTGTACTGATAAGATATTCTTCACATTTGGTTATGCCAGCAGAAAAAGTAAGGGTGAAGAGTTACATCCTTGGGTGTGTGTGTGTGTGGGGGGGGAACTATTGGTCTACTTGACCTGTGCTTCGATTGTCATGTTTGATGCTTGTATTGAAAGACTTGGCTATTGCCCCTTTCAGTTCTGCAGTTCTCTGCTTGTCAATCATCTCCATCTCCCGGAGCTTCTGCAAACAGCAGAGAAAGAAGACATAGTAAGAATTCAATGAATTTTAATTTTCTTACAAGATAATACACAAATCTTACTCCAGATGAAGATGTATTGCCATCTCCTGTATAAATTTTTAAAGGTTCTTTTTCAGTTTAGATGCATACATGCCCTTCTACCAAGTCTTTTCCTACTTTCTCAAAAAATCATAATCATATCCAATTTTCATATTGAAAAAAAGATTGCATTTAAGCCTATAAAGGTCAGAATTACCAGGTACCTGTGATATTTCAGTTTGGATAATTCCTTCATATGCTTTGCTCTGTCCCAAAGCTTTCATTTCTGACAGGAAATTTTGACGATCTTGAATTTCGTTCACCACTAAGCATAAAGACAAAAGAAGCAATGTGGAATGAAAGACTAAAGGGCAGGAACATAGTTGTTCTTCTGAAGTTTGAATCATTAATTTCCCATTTACTTTATTTAAAAGACTTCTGTAGCAGCCCATCTTATGGGCCATAACTCTGGGAGCCTCACAACAACAGCAACATGAAAACAACAACAATATTGGAACATATATTACATTAATTCCCTGTATGCTTCTTAAACCTGTTAATTAAACCTGTTGCTTCCTTTGGGGGAAAATAGATGCAATATGTTATATGCAGGTGAGATTCTACCAGTTCTGACTGGTTTGGGCAAACTGGTATTTCAGGTGAGCATGTGGCCCTGCCCACTTGCCCCTGCTCTTTCCTATGCTTTATTTCCTGGTTTTTAGCATAGCTGATTCACACGGCAGAGCAGTTTGCTGCGCATCAGCTGTTTTACTTACGGGGAAGCAGCAGAAGGCAAGTAATTGAGTTGAAAATGGGCTTTTTAAAATGTAGCGCACATGCACGCTCAGCAAACCAGTTGTTTCACAGGTTGGTTATACAATCATGTGAGAAAGAAAGAACACCCTCTTTTTATGGTTTTATGTATCAACAGTAAAAATCATTTGGTCCTTAGTTTTTAAAAGTAGATAAATACAACCTCAGATGAACAACAACAACACAACGTATTACACTATGTCATCATTTATTTTACAAAAAGAAAGCCAAAATGGAGCAGTTATGTTCACCCTTAATGCTTTCAGAGAGATGAAGATGCTAAGTAGCAGCCAGGGGCTGCTAATCAAGTGCCCTTGATCAATTGACACGGCAAGTGTGACTATCCCTATAAAAGCCAGAGTTTTAGGAGTTTGCTGGTCTCCAGCACTAAGGTGTGTTTTAACACAATGCCAAAGAGGAAAGATATCAACAGTGGTCTTAGAGACGCAATTGTTGCTGCCCATTAGTCTAGAAAGGATTATAAGGCCATTTCCAAACAATTTAAAGTCCATTATTCTTGAAAAGAGTATTCACAATGGAAAACATTCAAGACAGTTGCCAATTTTCCCAGGAGTGGATGTACCAGCAAATTCACCCCAAGGTCAGACTGTGCAATGCTCAGAGAAATTGCAAAAAATTCCAAGAGTTACGTCGCAGACTCTACAAGGCCTCAGACAGCATGTTAAAAGTTGACGTGCATGACAGTACAATTAGAAAAAAAACAGAAGTATGATTTATTTGGAAGAGTTGCTAGGAGAAAGCCTCTTCTTAAAAAAAAAAGTTTGCAAAGTTACATCTGAATAAACCACAAAACTTCTAGAACAGGCCTATCAAACTGGCAGCCTGCAGGCTGGGTAGGTACATCATGCACAGACCACACCCAGCCCAGCTCCGCAAAGACAAAAAATATCATGATACGTTGTGAACTGGCCCGTGATGTGATTGAGTTTGACACCTATGTTGTAGAACATTGTCATTTGGACAGATAAGAACAAAGTGAAGATGTTTGGCCATAATGCACAGTACCATGTTTGATGATTACCAAATACAGCATATCAGTACAACCATCTCATGCCAACTGTAATCGTGGTGGTGTGGTGGTCATTTGGGTTTGTTTTGCAACCACATGACCTAGGCACTTTGCAGTCATTCAGTCGACCGTGAACTTCTCTGTATATCAAGGTATTCTAGTGTCAAATGTGAGGCCATCTATCTAACAGCAAAAGTTTGGCTGACATTGCAACAGGACAATGATCCTAAGTACACCGGCACATCTACAACAGAAGGGCTGAAAAATTAAAAGAACCAAGCTCTTGCAATGGCCCAGTCAAAGTCCAGCTCTCAACCAGATTGAAATGCTGTGGTGGGACCTCAAGAGAGCTGTGCATAAACAAAATGCCCAGAAACCTCAATGAACTGAAGCAATGTTGTAAAGAAGAGTGGGGCAAAATTCCTCCACAATGAGACTGATAAAGAAAACCATTACTTCAAGTTATTGCTACTAAAGGTGTTTTGTCAAGCTATTGAATCATAAAGGGTAAGTTTTTCACACATGGCTTCTCCATTTTGGCTTTCTTTTCTGTAAAATAAATGATGACATGGCGTAACTTGTCATGTGGTGGTGCTCATTTGTGATTGTATTTACCTATTTTTAAGAACAGCTAAGGACCAGATTATTTTTTTATTATGTTCTGATGTTCAACTCAAAGTGAACTTTCTTTTTCACATGACTATAGGTTTAATAAGATTCTCATATACGAAAAGGAAGTCTTTCATAGAACATAGTAATAATGTCCAGAAGTTTGGTTGATCCAGAACATCCACAAGATCCATGCCACTGAATACTAATACTAATTCTGAGGAACAAAAGCAAGCAATATTTGGGACAGTAGACAAACTTTGCAATAGGGACTTTGTCTTAAGCCAGGTATAAATAACTTTAACTCCATTTCTTGATAACAGACAGACTGCCTATGCATGCTATGATATGATGAATTATGATTTATTGAATTAAATTTTGCCCAACATTGAGCCATAATCATGGTTTATAAATCATGGTTTATAAACTATAGTGGCTGTTATTATGGGGGGGAACATCTTAACAGTCTATTGTATGACTACCCTGCTCTTGGTTAGCTTTGCCTTGCATGTGCTCTGCTGAAACTACCTATAGAAATCTCTTATGTTTATTGTTAACTTGATACACTGTTGTATCAAATGGTTTGGTGTCACCCTGGTTGAAAATATATAACACTATGCCAAAGTAATGATCCTGCTGTACTGCATTAGTGGATAAGAGTAGTGTTGCTGTGCTTCATCCTGGAAGTATGAGCAATCTTTTGCAAAGACAACTTAGCATGTAAGTCACTGATTTGATAGTGCTCAGAATCTAAAGATACAAGCAGGAAGGAGTAGCTGTTTCCAATCTCTACTAGCTACAAACAGCCAGTATTCATAGAACATGATTTAATCAGATCAGGTCAATTCTTAGAAGCTACACTCACACATCCTAGTTGGTATGAATCTAACATTAACTTGGTTAGAGTTAACCTTAGTTTTTAGTGATAGCATACTGTATGGACATAGCATCTTAGTTTAACTTTCTGGTTCTATGTATGATGCCAACTCAGTAAGTGGATTAGCATTACAAATTAATCCTAAACACTATTAGGGATCATCACACAGCCAAATATTTACATTGGATTTGGTATTTTTGTCAACCTACAGAATGTTCCCAAGGACCTGTTATAGGCAAATTTTTGATGGCAGTAAAGGTATTATTGCAGGATGTAAGCTGTTCCAAGTAAAGCTGCCTTTTTCAATTGACTGATGGGGATTTTGTCAATGCTAATGGTATTCAGGTGGTGATCCAGTTGTTTTAGGATTGCACATAATATGCCTATCACTATTGGTATTTGCTTTCTTTTGCCACAGTCCTTCTATTTGCAATTCTTTGTATTATATTTTTATTCCAGAGGTATAGGTGGGTGTAAATGTCTGAGTTCCTGAACTACAACAACCCTTTTATCTTAGGCTAATATATTGTATGTACCCTGCCAGAGTGTATCAGGTCACTGCTTTTAGCTAAGGGGGTCCACTTACATTCATCGAATCGGTCCACCTCTGGTACTGTTTCTTCTACCTTGACTGGTTTCTTCTGAGTTTTCTTCTCTACTTTGTCCTTTCCTGTTGCTAAGATGTTTTGCAGTCTTTCTTTCTCCTTCTCTATGTCTCCTATAGATATAAAAGAAATATTATTACTGTATAAAAATATTGATCAGAATTCCTGGAGGGGATAACTTACTGTCATTCTTTTATGCTCAAAAGAAGACAATTTTAAAATGTCTAAGCAAATAATTACAAATGAACTCTGATACTCAAATAGCAGCAGTTGAGACTGCTAAGTGGAGAGAATTCTAGAGATAGTATTTTCCTTGGTTATCATTTTCTCTTTCTCAGAAATTTCTCTTTGAAGAGTTGCACTAATCTGACAGATCACCTATATTAATCCTTTCAGCAGGTAGTCCTCATTTAACTATTGCAACTGGGACCAACTCAGTCATTAAGCAAAGTGGTAGCTAAGTGAAAAATTATGGGACTGTGCTTACAATTTTATATTAGTTTTCCTTTACTTTATAGCATCAAAAGGATATGACCCCAAACAGTCGGGTGATTTCAAACAGCAGGGATGCTTTCTGGAACTTGATTTACAAGGAAGCCAAGTAAAAGGGCAAATCTTATGGCTCCTTTTTACCATTTTGGAAGCTCACTCAAGTACTGGGATAATTAGTAAGGGAATTAGATAATTCACCTTTGGAGAAGAAGAGATTATAAGAAGTAAGCAGGCACACAATGTGGAATACACATTCCCTGCTATTTGCTTAGCACCCTTAGGAGTGCTGAGCCACTTAGGGAACAAAAAAAGCCTTGAGTAGAGACATTGATTATAGTCTTGTCAATTTCAGGCAGCAACTGTGCAGGTCCAGGATTCTAATCAAGTAATTAAAATCACAAGAGTGGTTAAATTGTGGTTAGCACTTTTCAGTGACTGCAGTGAAGAGAGAGAAGCAGCTCAGGAAGAGATAGCTTGTTTAGACAATCCTTCTGTGCACTGTGAAGCGAGTAGAGAAAAAAAAAGCAGGCCAGGAAATAGACAACACATATTGTGTTTAATGGTGAACACTGACCTAGAGAAGCTTTGGAGGCCATAAATGTGGTCACTGGTTGCAAAGTTACATTTTCATCACTGTTGTAACTACAGGTGGTTGCTACCCACATAGTACAGTAGCTGAACAAAGATTACTTGTAAATAATGATGAGTATCAGTGGTGCGTTTCAAAATTTTTTGCAACCAGTTCGGTGGGCATGGCTTGGTGGGTGCACTTTGTGTGTAAACACTTTGCATGCATGCGTATGTGCCAAACATGCACTTTGTGCAGGCACAGAGGCTTTCCAACTCGCCTCCTGCAATCCTGCACTCCCCCTGTCGCTTTAGCAACTGCTGCACAGCAATCTATTTGCCTCGCAAAGTAGCTGCGCTTCAAAAGCAGGACATAAAGGTTAGTATGGGAGCCCGGACAGGTGGGCCCAACAGCAAAGTGTCAGAGAGAACTGGTTCGGTCTCCGCTGCTCATCGTCGCTACCGCCTTGGCAGAATCAGGCCGAACCGGTAGAATACCACCACTGATGAGTATTAATCATCGTTATTTATTTCTCCATTCCTGCATTTATCATTTGCAAATGTTTCTTGCTTACGAGTGGCTTGAGGTTTGAATTTTTCTCTGGTATATGCATTTCCTGCCCGACAGATTTCTGCAGGCCGCAGGTGAGGTCTACCACAGAGAGTGGTGGTCAAAATAATCTTTGATGACACAGGCTTCGGAAACTCTGGTTCTCTGCTGGATGTTGGATAACAGTGTACGGGGAAAGCATCACCACCTAAGAAAGAAGGGCAGAGATTGGTCAAAAAGGAATTAAATGTAAAGCAATGGCATGCATGTACCATTTTAAGTATACATGGCAAGAGTCTTCTTTCACCCAAGCTCAGTCTCTGGCAGCTTTTTAGAAACCTCCAGTAGTATTCTTGGCAGTGTCTAGATTTGACCCCAAGGTTAAATTGCTAGGTATAAATATGTGTTCCAATTTAATATTTTAGGAGGGATTCTGTAAACTGACTTGCTTATAAATGCATACAAGAAAATATATAATAGGAATTACTCATGTTTTAATATGAATTCAGAATTGTTTAAAAATAGTCCCTCAACCTATCTTTAGGTGATGAAAATCTCACTTTTACATAAGATTTATTGTCCTAGACTGAGTTGGATAAACTAGAGTTCATTAAGAAGTATTCATCATCTGTGATTTACAGTTTTACACTAATGTTTTATTGTCTTCCTGAGTTTATATAAATTTCCTTTGCAAGGGGATGGTTTTTCTCTTTAGCTGGAGAAAGTCGCATGTCTGAATTAAATTTAGAAATCTGAATTTTAGGCATACTTACGTTTCATGCAATTTACAAGATGGCGTTGCTGGAAGCAAGTAAGTTTAGATTCTTGCATCATCACTAAAAGAGAAAAAATATTATACAGATCAGCAACAACATCACACCCTTTGCAGAAATAGATTTAATCCAAACGGTACCTACATACAAAAAGGAATGCAAAATCTTGAGCACAGATACCACAAATGCTAAAAGGCTACAGTCCAATCTATCAGTAGAGGTCTTTTCCAATGAGATATCTTCCTGCTTTTTTGATATAATATAATTGAAGGGTATCCAATTGTAGAATGTTATAATTTATATTCAAAACCCTTTTTCAGAATATCTAACTAATTGCAACATTGGGTTTTCTCCCCAAAATTATTTTTATTATTGTGGTTATTCTGGAATACAGAAATCCAAAGTTAATTTTTTCCCTGTATTTTTGGTTTTAAGCAAGTAGTATTCAAAAGGCTCTATTTTTTTCTGTAACCAGTTTTCAGCTTATAACTTTATTGGCATGACCAGATCTTGTAATTAGCTGCTGCTGAGAAAGGTATTCAAGAATTTATACCTCATATTAAGGAAGAAATTCAACACAGACATTTTCCTATAGTTACTAACTAGTCACTGAAATTATCAAAGACTAGGGATCCTCAATTTGCACAAAAAGTAATCTAAGTAGTAGTAATTTAAAATGCAACAAGATAATAAGCTGGAGTGGGGAGCATTACTTCCTGGGATACTTTTCTATTCTGCTTGCTAATTACCTTTTAATAACTCTTGTGTTTCCTGGCTATATTCCTTCACAGTGGGAACATGCCAAAATCCGCTTCCTTTTATCACAGGCCTGATCCTCTCTTGAGAAGCCATTGTAATATAGTACTCTGAAAGAAACTTATAAAGAGTTCTACAATTATTAAGATCACAACTCACACATATTCTGTATTTTTTCTCATAATTCTTTCACCAATGTTCATTTGCCATATTTATTTTATTTATTAAAGTTCTACGCTATACATGTCAATACAATGGCACTGAATTAGGACCATTTCCCACATTTATTACTGTTGCAGCATCCCCATTGTTGCATGATCAAAATTTGGATGCTTAGCAAGTACCCTAACTCATATTTAGGACGGTTGAGGTGTCCCAGGGTCAGGTTATCACCTTTTGCGACCTGATAAGCAAAGTCAATGGGGAAGCCAGATTCACTTAGCAACCAGGTTACTAACTGCAGCGATTCACTTACCGATCGTGGCAAAAAAGTTTGTAAAATGGGGCAAAACTCACTTAATAGTCATCTCGCTTAGCAACAGAAATTTAGGGCTCTTTTTGTGGTCCTAAATTGCAGATTACCTGTAGACCAATTGTATACTCATTTGTAAAATATGTATGGGCTACATGTAGAAAACCCAAACTGGATTTTTTAAGGCAGGAACTGGAGACAGTTGTGCTGCATACATCATGGTCATAACAATTTCATGTATTCATAACTATGTTTACTCGTATACCTGTTATCTTATAGGCTCTTGACAAAATAAAATAAAATAAGTAAGTAAGTAAGTAAGTAAATTAATAAATAAATTGCAGCCGGCGTCCAATCGCAGCCTAATCCTAACTTCGACACCACGGTGCAATTTAAGGTAACGGAGATGCAAACTCAGCATCTAAAACGGATGCGTGAAATCGTGCCTATCTCGGCTTGGAGGCCCCCATCTCAGCTATTCCCAAAAGTACCCGATTTTCCGTCCGATCACGGCTCCCTTTTCTGGAGGGTTACGGGATGAGCAGCGAGAGAGGTTTGCAAAAGGAAAAGTCTCCCCCCCCCCTTCTCTTACCCGAATTGGCGGCTCCCATCACCATGACAACCGCCTCCGGCGCTCGCTTACGCCAACGTCAAATCTGACCCCGGAAGTGTTCGCGCTCGGCGTGCTCTTCGACGGGAAGCGCGTGAGTTTGTTTGCGTTTTTCCTTTTGCTTCCTTGCCGGGGGAGATCATCTCGGGGCTCTCCGCTTCTCCCGTCAGGACGCTCGGTTTGTGGTGGGAATTGACACCGTGAGGGTCTGTGCTGAACGAGGGAAGGCCTCCCCATGTCGGACAACGAGGATAAGTAAATAAGCGCGTGAATAAGAAATGAATCTTCTAGCCTGTTGCCCCAATTTGGCGTCTCCCGGGTGTTGGGGCTACTTCTCATTTCCAGAGCCGGTCCAGGGTGGGAGGAAGGCTTGCTTAGCCAGTCCGTCTGTAGTTGGGAAAACAGCCCCCTGGAACTGCTTTAAACCGAGCAGTGAGACGCTGGCCTGGATTCAACTTCATTCAATTCCTGACTTCGGGAATTGGAAGGGATCTTGGAGTTCATCTAGTCCACCCCCCTGCTAATATTTAGAATATTAGCCTCCTGGGTAGAGGCTAATAATTCAAATATTAGCCTCTACCTAGGATCGATCTTCCAGCCTACTGATTGTGAGGGGAGAGCTCCACCTCTACTTAAAGAAGAATGTGGATTTTCAGCTATTATTTTCTTCCCCCCAACGTATTGCTATGATTTAATATTAACACTGTTAATAACAATAGCATTGTTATTAAAAGGTGTATTCCACTTTCACTGTTGAACCAGTCCTAAAGTGATAGTTACCCATGCAGAGACTGAGGAGTAGCTACATAATAATGAGCTGGGTCTCATAGTCAAAGAGAAATTTGAATCCACGTCCTAGGTTTACTCAAATAATTGTACCACACTGACTTTTCCAAAAAATATTTCTAACCGGCCTGGCATCTTTCTCTGCTCACCACTGAAACTGGGTGTCTCCCACCCATATATACATTTGGATCCGCCTAAAGCTCTGTCTAGTCTAGCATGGTTTATTCTGAGAAGCTAAATGACCCACATTTTTAGTATGTGGCAGTTGAAATACACTTAAAATCAAGAATCCTTTGTCTTATAATTTAGTTTGTTTTTCTTTAGTGTTAATCACCTGTCAAAGAGGAATTGTGATACAACAAGCCAAAGTAGACTTTTTAAAAAATATTAATATGTGTATTTTAATTAAATTTATACTTTTGCTCAGTTTATCCTGACCTGATGGACAGAATTTGAGAATAGAATGCATTTTCTACATCATGTACAGTAGCAGCAGTCATGCCAATGGATTCCCTGACTCATGTATGATTTGACCTAAAATTTCTTAGAACTTAAGAAGGAATCAGTAGATTGTAGTAATCTCTAAATTGCAAATTTGGAAAGCTTAATAGCTAGCTGTTGCTTATCACCATCACAGAGTACATTTGGGGAACAGAATTACTCAGAACAGAATTGCTCTAGTTTCCAAATTCATGCCTGTTGATTTAGTGACTTTTAAAAGATCAAGAATGTGTCTTTTTCTGGCTTGTACCACAGAATTTGGAAGAAGAGCAAGTGAATTTTCTCCAACTTAAAGACAAACATGTTCCCTTTCTGACTTTTCTGTGATCCATTCACAGCCTGATCCATTCACACTTGGGATTTTCTAGTGATCTTCTTTCTACATATGAATCAAATTCAGTCCTACATTGTTTTTGTCAAGATAGATAATTTAGGTGTTGACATCAGTAATGACATTTAGCTCGTAGTAAGTATTTTAGGGTTTTGCTAGAGAATTGCCCATAAAATATTAATAAATTTCTTCTATTAGTTTTGATGGAGATGATTTCGATGATGTGGAAGAAGATGAAGGACTTGATGATCTAGAAAACGTTGAGGAGGTAAGTGACTTTAGCTTGTGATATGCTAAAACAGCCTTCAACCTGGTGAGTGGTTTGAAAAAGGAAGATATATATTTTATGAGTGAAATAGCTACTAGATGTACTAGACTTCAACTTCTGTCATTCTTAGCTGGAAAAATGAATACTTTTGGAAGGCTGTATTTAAGTATATTATTAGGGTATAAAGGAATATAGGGTTGCGTTTAGGGAACTTGAAAGGGCCACTTAGGAGGAGAAAGAAGGATCAAACTATTAAGGAGGGACTTTGCGAAAAAGTTACACAGTCCGTAGAGGAAAGCATAAGAAACAAATTCAAAATAACCTCCCCGTGATTTTTTTTTTTTAGTATAATATGGGATAGGGAGAAACTTGGACAAATTTTCAAAAAATATGTCAGTCCTTTGAGGTAGGTCAGGTCAAGAAACTGGATTCCAGTAATACTCTTTATCATAGTAAGGCAGAATAATAGAATCTTGAAAGTTTTTGCGTAGTGCTCTCTTATCTCCCTCAAAGTCTGTTCTACATTGTTTTACCCAAGGCATATATTTTGTTTCTTTGACTAGTAGCTAAGGACAAAGAATAAGGACCAGTAACCTCGATTTGTAAAGTCCCAATGCTTAAGTGGTATAAAATGTGAAGTTTAGAAAATGGGTTAAAATATATATGAATTCATAGGTTAATATCTGTTTTACATCTTACCATCATGTATTAGGTATCTTTACCTAATAGCATTCTTGTAGAACCTTGTTTAATATTTTCCATTCATATTCTCGGTTTTAATTGCATGATTACTCAGATGACAGGGCATGCAGCTATGTGTGTTTACATTTGCTTTGTATTATTCCATAGGAGGGTCAGGAAAATGTGGAAATCTTGCCATCTGGAGAGCGACAACAAGCAAATCAGAAGCGGATCACTACTCCTTACATGACCAAATATGAGCGGGCCAGAGTTCTTGGTACCCGTGCCCTACAGATAGCGTAAATATAGATATACATTTATTTAGCTATTTGTCTTTTTCTACCAATGGTTGAAGGCTTCTCCAGGTTCCAGCTGTTTGTCTCCAATGCATAATTCTATTTTGCCATAGTTATAGCTCTTTGGCAGCACATGTATTTAAATTATTAGTGAGATGCCACTAAAAAGTAGGACATTTATTTTAAATATTATGTACATGGGTTTCAGAGTTCATATAGAGAAATATATGAATAATGGGAAGAGAAGGCTGCTAGCAGAATATTTTATCCCTCATTCAAGAACTGGGCAGTAAGAGTGATAGAAAAGGGACAACTTTAAGATGAGCAATTAAAAACAGAGGTCCATAAATAAGATTGCATTTTTGGGGGTTACATAATGTCTTTCAGATTAAATCTTTTCCCCATTCTGAAGGTGCTAGACAGGAAAATTTTCCTTTTCTTTGTGGAAAACTAAATATTTAGAAGAATTAGCCACTAACGACAGATGTTTCATTATCCAATATGTTCCCAATATTGTTCCAAGAAGGAATGTAGTGCTCTTGAGCTTATTTGAAGCATCTTACCAGAGGTTTAACTAAGCCAAAACTTTACAGGTTGTCCTTGTTTATCAATTGCACAATCAGTAACCATTCAAAATTATGATGGCACTGAAAAGTAGATTTATGACCAGTTCTCAAACTTACATCACAGCGCCCCTGCATTCATGTGATTGCAGTTTGGGTGCTTGGCAAGCAGTTTGCTTTGATGATGGTCTTCCTCTTCTGGCCACATGATTGCCATTTGCTACCTTTGAATAAAATCAAAGAAGCTGGCAGTAAGTTGCAAGTTGCAGTCATGTAACATTTCACCAAATGGCCATTGATGATTTGTTCAATGACCATATCCAGAACTGATGTAGCTCTGTTCACATGAAGTTTCACTTTACAACTATGTCACTTAATGATGGAGTAGCTGGTCCCAATTTTAGTAACTGAGGACTAGTGGCTGGTTATTCTTTATTTCAGTAGAACTCACATAGTAGACAGTTACTTTGATAAGCCAATGAAGATTGGTTTGCTAGAGGTGAATAACAATAATGTCCATGTGTGAGAATTTAGTCTCTCCTACTTTTATTTTTGTATTTTGTTTTATGCCCAAAATAGCAACCCCATATCACCCCACTTCTGTATGCAATTTAAAAGTATAATTCATTTGGACATATTATTACTGAGTTATATACAACAAATAACAAGAGCCAGTTTAAGGTTAAGGTACCAGGCTAGAAATTTGCCCATTATCACTCAGCCCTTGGAAGCAGGCAGTGGCAAACTACTTCTCAAAACCCTTGCCAAGAAAACTTCAGGGATTTTCCAGGCAGTTGCAAGAAATCAAGATTGACTCAAAGGTACACACGCACCCAGCTCTAAAATGAAAATCTTTAAAATGTCAGAAAGCAGAGATTATAGCATAGGTTCTCAAGAGCAAAAATTCCAGGCAAATTACAAGTTTGACAGGAAACCAAATGGTATATCTTATTCTCATCTAACTTGATAACTTTTAATACCCACTGTTTACTCCAGTTGCAGTAAAATTTCTTAAATCTTTCCCCCCTCAGGATGTGTGCCCCAGTAATGGTAGAGCTTGAAGGAGAAAGAGATCCCTTGCTGATTGCAATGAAAGAACTGAAGTAAGTTGAGAAGTTTTATCCATGTGCAGGTGTGCATAAACTGTTCCCTTTCTAATTAGATTTGGACATTCTGCTTGAAGGCAGGAGGGGTTGTATGGTGAACATGCTTGTTTCACTCTTCCTGTTCTTCTAGTTGTCCTTATGATCAAGAGAACTTTCTGCAGACTGAAATCTTGCCTACGCGTATTGGTTCTACATACAATTTAAAACCACAATTTTTAGGACATTGATGAGGAGAGGAAGCTCAATAAATAGTAAATATTTATTGCTATAATTATTTGTCCTACAACTTGTGACAAAAAGGCAATTATTGGGAGGAGAGAGCTAGTTAATTTTATTCACATGTAAAATATCTGAATTTGTTGTCCAACAAGAGACACATAGAATGTTCCATTTTGTAGGTGCCTTGACTTTTCCAAGTAGAGGTAATGCTATTGTTTTGAATAGGAATAAAATACTAATTGTAAAAATAGTAATGCTATTTTTATGATTTATTTTTGTCACATTTTCAGTACCATAGTTTTCCCAGGTGCATTAATGAAAAGCGCTACAATGGTTTATGATTTAGTCCCTGCCATCTTTGTTTTTTCCATAGAAGTACAGTCAGAGTAGATGATTTCCCTTTTCCCGGCACTGAAATGTTTCAGACTTATTTTGAAATTCAGGACTTAAAAAGATAATTTGGTTTTTCTTTTTTTCTTTTATAAGTGTCATTGGCTAGAGAGTTATAATGTCAGATGTTATATTATGTAGAAACTGAAAAAGTGATAGTAAACTATACTCCTGTTATAATGCACTTAAGATTCATGAGTTCCCATTATAGAAAGAAATACAAAACAATACATTTTCTTTCTTCATATTTGGCTCACATTGTGCACATAATGCAAGATTTGTATATTATTTAATGAAAAGGAGTTTATAAGCCCAAACATTAATGTGACTAAACTTGTTTTAATGTTTACGTGAACTATGCAAAGCTGTGACTAGTACTTCAATACAAAATCATAATGTGAGAATTTTCCAGAAAAATTATATTCTGGTTATGGTTTCAGGACCATTGTGTTGAACTCCTGTAACTTAAAAAAATTTTTTTGCGTGTTTTTACTTTTCACGTATTGCAAGATTATAAACCTGATGTTCTGGACAAATTCCTGGCTAATTACATTGTTGACCTAAAAAGTCTTATTTAGATTAAACTGGATTTAAATTTCTTTCCTTTAGGTTCCAAGTTGTTCAGTTTGCCAAAGGTTTTTAATAGTTTAAAATGCAGAGCATTTCTTTGGTTCATGACGTTACACTACATGAACACTTTATACGTAATTAAACAATGCGTATTTGAAAGGGTCATTTATGTGATCCCAGTACAGTCTTTCTATAAATTCAGTTGTCTCCCTGTCTCTTAGGAAAGTTCTTTGGAAAAATAAGGTTTAGAAGTCCTACATTCAGATTATTTGCTGCTTATTTTTAAGAAGTAGAAATGAACATTTAATGACTTTCTATGGGTGAATTTTTAGATTTGGGTTTGAAGGCTTTCAAATGTTTTATTACATACATCGCTGAATACCAATGATTTAGTTATGAATGTCTCTTTCCCTCCTCCAGAGCTCGGAAAATTCCCATAATTATCCGCAGGTATCTGCCAGATGGAAGTTATGAAGACTGGGGTGTAGATGAACTAATTATCACAGATTAAATATCTTCCGTGCTGCAACTCCAACTTTTATGGAAATATATATATATATATTGTGTAAATAAATACCAAAATACCAAAATAAATGTTTTGGATGTTTCCTTGTTACATAAAATAATACTAAAGAAAACCAGCAGTCTGCCTGTCTTGCTCTTTCTTTCTCTTTTTTTAGTGCTTTTACAGCTCAGTCTTGAAGACCCAGTAGATTTAATTCTGTTGCTGTTTTTGCCGAGCCAAGCAAGGTATTTGCTGCCTTTCAAATGCTATAAATGCAAACTAGAAAGGTGGTGCAGAAGAAGCTTCCTCGGAGTTGTATCTAATCATCATGTTATGCGCAAGTGATTTTAAAGTGATCCTGCAGCTGCCAAGCTTCCAGATGCCCTTTAAGACAACTGAAAGACCTCTTTGCCTTCGACCTACGCTTTTTTCCAGGGGCCTGTAGTAGAGGAGGCATTTCTGCTGCTTGCTACCAAACAGACATGCCTTTGTGCCCAGGAACAAGTTGCCTTGGAAACCCCCAATTTCCCCTCTGATCAAGGCTGGCTCTCTGGGCTTCTCAGGAGTATCACAGAGCGACTCTCATCAAATCTTCCATTGTTCCTTTTCCTGCCCTGACTTCTTATCAATCAACAGGATCCCCTTACAGTGGGCTGTTCTACAGCAAAAAGAAAAGCATAATTGCCTTGATGAGTTATCTAGTGAGAGTCAGCTTGACATCTGTAATCTATGCTTTATGGTACCTATGTCTCAGTACATTTCTTTCCCACCCTATCTGGCATAGCCTTACTGTAAGTGCATGCTCATATTGTGAAGAACTACCTGATCCCTTAAATGTCAGGAAAATAAGTTTTAAAGTTACGTAAATGAGCAAACTATTGCAAAATAAACCTCCAAATCCCCTGGGTCACTCAAATGGTAAAAGAGAATATTTTAAAAGTACTTTTGCAATGAAAAAAAATTATGCTTCTAAAGAAATCTTGGCTTTCTGCAATAAACTTTTTTGGGGGGTGAGCTTTATAGAGCAAATGTATTGTCAGCATTGTTTCTAAAAAAACATCAGGATATTTTAACCATCTCCAAAAGCTTTGTAAACATCGTTCCTATAAATCAGAGGTCCCAACCCCAGGTCTAAGTACAAGTCCAGGATCCATTGGGAACTGAGCTGTGCAAGCAGTGGGAGAGCAAGCAGAGCTCCATTTTGTGCGAGTGGGCACACATGCGAAACCACCCCCTCCCCCCTCTGCTGCCAGTCGGCAGAGCCAGAACAGTTGGGGACTGCTGCTCTAAGTTACATGCATGTAATGCATGTTGTCCCAAAAAGTTTGCTTAAGATGCAGAGGGCCTTTCTTTTGGCTCTTTGATGCAAACTTAATGCATACTTTCTTAAAGTGTACTTTCTTTTAATGCAAGTTTTTTTAAAAAATATAACTTGCTTTTTGTATGCAACATGCAATCCCATACCTTAGTTTCAGATGTGAGGTTTTGGGAGAGAATCTAAAGCTAACCAGACTGAAGAAATATTCCTGCTGGAATATCCAGATTTGCTCCTACTGTGGCAAAATTCTTTTATAATGCTACTTTATGCTCAGGAGTTGCTACTAGAGGGGTATATCAGACTTGCCTAGGATCTGAGCTGTTTTTTTCAGGAAGCTTGTGAAATTAGGGCAAAGGCTATTTCCCCCCACCCATTTTATTTATACACAAACACATATGCAAAAGAAATTTATATTTGGAAATAGTGAATTTTTTTAAGGGAGTAGTTTCAGAAATAAGGTGAAATGGAAGTTAACAGAATGAAACAACTGTAAACAGACAAAGGCACTGAAACCACAAGGAATGTGTCGCCTTTACTGAGCAACTATGCCAATAATAGGTTAATTTGCAGAGTTATAACTTACAAATCTCCTTGGCCTCTCCACTCCCTCTGGCGTTTAATCACGTTTGTGTGATGAAATTTCAGTAATGAAATGTGTCTTTGTGTGATCATTTTGGCATCCACAATGGAGCGCAGGAGTTGTACTCCTGGCCCTCTTTTTTTTTTTTTTAAAGCTGCTTTGTTTTAATACTCTCCCTTCCCCATCCCCCTTCCTCAACCCTTGCATCTACATCAGATACAATTAAAAGGGTAGCAAAAGGCTCTAGGCCAGCTCCCACCAGACTGGTAGCGGAATGTGCAGTCCCTTTGTGCCCAGCGTGGAAGCTGGTAAATGCTGGGTCCTACTTTTGTTCTTAAGACAGAAACATGGCAATTGACATTAACTCTTGTAATTTATTGGCTAAGACAGCACATCACCTCTTCTTAATCAGCTTTCCTTCTGAGGATGCACATAGGAAGCACTTAGAAGGAAGCTGGAAAGATTTACTTTTGTCCCTTGTGTGTGGTTCCTTTAGCTGTGGCAATCTACCTATTGGCAATAGGTCATATACTTCCAGTTTTAACCATGCTTCCCTAGAGCGATTACAAAAGTTCTTTTGGCTATCCCTTCCAACTTTGCCAATGATTTTTCTCAATTAGCTTTTTCTTTATTTTCCATGAGCTTCCTCAAAATAGGGCATCCTCCGGATGTGTGAACTCCAACTCAGAATTTTCAACAAAGGCTATGCCAGCTGAGTAATTTTGGATTTTGACACACCTACTTTAGGGAGGACACAAGGGTGAAAAAGACAATGTGTTTTTGCCTTTGCTTGAATATCCAAAAGGCAGCTGTTTTATTTTGCAGTATTGCATCAAAACCCAGAACTCTGGTAGGGGTTTTTTTTTCCCTAAAGGGAAATTTGTAGAATGAGAGAAGGCCTTTTGAGTAGTGGTACCCTCTCTCTGAACTACTGTCTCCATGATTTTCAACTTGTGCAATGCTGGGATCATTTCTCTTTCATATGTAAACTTACTGTTTGCACAGATGTTTTGAAACTTTAAAATGGAGTCCAACAATTGTGCTTTGATTTTTTTTTTTTACTGTTTCAGCATTTTTTTTACAGTTTTTGTCTTTTCTGTATACTTGTGTTTCTCATCCTCAGCGGCCTTAAGATGTATGGAGTTCAATCCCAGAATTCTCCCAGCCAGCATGGGTGTCATTCTTTATAATGTAGATAATTATTTAAACATGCTTTCATGCTTAAATAATTATCTACCATCAAAAGTTTTTGCAAGAAGAAAACTTTGCAAAGGAAGCATCACACTTTTCTGTGAATCAGTTCTCTTTTATTGGATATAAAAATGTCCATATAGGTGAAGTTTTCTCATTCCAGCATGCAAGACACAGAATAATGAGTTTAAGTTATAGGAAGACAGATGCCTTATCTATCAATAACATCAGTTCAAAAACAAAATATGCTATCTAGAGAAGGTGGACTGCTCTTTACTGAATATATTCAAATTAGGACTGGAAACCATCTGACTAGGATGCTTGAATTTGGATTCCTTCACAGGAGGTTGAACTTTAGAGGCCGCACGCACCCTCTTCCAATTCTGATTCTATACTTCTACGGCTATTCTGGCCTAAAATGAAGTATATCTTAAATTGATTCATTGGTCAGCTGAAGAAAGGTAATTGCACTGATCTTACCACTTTCCTACTAACCTCCTTTTGTTACTCTCCTTTACCTAAGAAAGTTCAACTCAGATTGCTTAGTGATCATTGAGTCTTCTGGTTAAATAACTCCTAGTGCCATGGCAAACATATAGCACAAGTTGCCAATTTTGGGGAATTTAAAGCATTTGGCCAGACATTTAAACAGAGGCCTAGAGCCAAAGATTTCCATCAGAGTCAAAGGAGATAATGTCAAGCCAAATGCACAACCCGCCCACCATTACATTTTTCATGTGCCCCCACGCAGAATAAGTCAAAAGGTACCCTGGTATGCAAAATATGGCAGTTTCTGAATTTTAAGTACCATCTTGGTTACATATCTCCTTTTTCTGACATTGCAACTCTCTGGTTTTGGTATGATATTTCAAGCTGGAAAATGTATCATTTATTCATAATCTTAGGAATCTTGTGGAATGAAACAAAGTTGAAGAAGCGGACAAAAGTGAGACTTGGTTCCTCCTGATTGTTAATACCTACCTGAGAAATTAAGAAGGATCAGTTGGTTTCAGGAATAGAGGGGAAGCTTGAAAGTAATTTTTGTAATTCCCAATAAAAATGGCATATGTACGGTAGTGGTAGAAATACTTTTTTTTTGCTGCCTGATGAAGAAGGCACGTACTGTCTCTCTCAAGTAAAGTATTGCAAATCAAGTAGGATGGTAAACTGGATGAATACATTGAATTAGAGTAGTATTATTCTAATCTCACTTTAAAATATGTATTTTAAAATTACACAGTCAATCTGTCTGCATCACAAAAAGGACCCCTCATTAATGTGATGCAATTGATTTATAGAACGTATGCCACAAAAGGATTATATACAGATCTGTAGAATACACTTATCAATTACATTTATCCTTGGAAATTAAAAATGTTACCCCATATTTAGAGGCAGATGACTTTAGAATAGCAAATGTAGTGAAACAACTAGAAAAGATGTCAAGATGCTTGTGAACATCCCAATTGGGTTTAACAGTCAACCATGAAACTGGAAAAATGCAGTAAAAGTGTGCTTGGAATGTTTAACTGGAAAAACCAACAATCCTCATCTGGTCCATTGCTGGGTGAAAAAAGTGGGAATTGTAGTTCTGACTAGGTGTGAAAAGACAGGTTGATCTGTTGAACAATGCATAGGGAGAAATCTATGGGTTAGAAGGTTATATGTAGTATACCAGTTTTTTATCCTCTCTTCTCAGCCAATTTTGGAGGGGTATGAGGCAGAGCATAGATCAAAATAGGAAACACACATTGACATCCATAGCTAAAACATTTTAAGTTTATTACTCCATACATTTGATGCAAAGTTAATGATGCTAGGACAACTTAAGTTTGTAGCATTGGGGACAGGAAAAGATGTGCTACTTGCATAAATAAGGGTGCATAGCAGTTAATAGATTATAAGAGGTACAGCCATACTACATGTTCTTTTCAAATACCATAGAGAAAAGATAATTATCCATAGCTGAACATGGAAGTAAGCATATATAAGTTCATAACTCAGGAC